TTGAAAAGGCTGATGATATGCAGTACTTTAAGATGAGGGGCACAGACACCCTTATATTATACTCAGTTAATAGAAATGGAATCAGTCCAACCTTGTGGGACTATAATCTGGTCATGTGAGTTAAAATTTAAATGTACATAGCCTTTGATCTGAGAATCCTGTTTTTGTTTCTCTGTCTTATGAAAAGAAGCTATTAGGTCTGTTTCCTGTTTGTGTCAGTTGCTCTTTCTTTACAGGTTACAGCTGCCTGCCTGAGTTAGGCCTCTCATGTGTCCTTGGCCTTCTTTCCAGGAGGTGCCAAGCTCAGCTTGGTCTTAACTAAGCATTTGATATGGACTGTGGCAGAGGCATCTGGCTCCAGTAGCTGGTTTACCTTTCTTCCTTTGAGTAATAGATCCTACAGAGACCACATTGTACAACCTCCCTTACGGCCGGTGTGGCCATATGAATAAGCTCTGGTCAACAGGGTATGAGTGGAAGGGATGTCTGCAATTGCCAGAGGTAGAGATTTGTCAATTTAGAAATTTTGGCCTTGAGAGATACTAATGAATATCTGTTGACCTCTTCAACTGTGAAGATAAAGAATTGGGAGCTCAGTGTGGAATCGGCAGGGCAAAATGGAACTTTAAAAGTTAGATATGTGTGTGTGTGTGTGTGTGTGTTCCTTTAGACATAAATGGCTTCTCTAAACTTCTGGGGTCTAGAGTATAACCACCACCCTCTCCCCTCAGCCTTGATAATTTGCAGACACTGATGCTGCTTCCCTGAGGTCAGAGGTCAGGGTCCGGAAAGGTTGAAGTTGATGTTTCCTGTATTGTCTCATTATATTCCTCCCCACCCCACCCTACCCTGTTATGAGAGACCCTAACACAACTGTATACCACCGCTGTGATGTTGATTGGGTGATAAGGCCTCTCCATCTCCTCAGAGCTAGCTTTGACTAAATCCTTTTTCCTTTTTCCAAAAGATGTGGCCTCCTTTGATTTGATCAGTGAGAACTGAATGGACCTATGTGGCCACCAACAGTAAGTAGGATAGCTGCTTTCTGCTGTGGGAACAAAGAAACGAGGGGGAGGGGGGTTGCAGGAAGGAGAATGCAGCAAATGCAAAAGAAGAAGAAGAAAAGGAAGAGGAGGAGGAGGAGGAGAAGGGGGATGAGGAAGAAGAAGAAAAGGAGA